CTAGATGCGCAAAGCTGTGTGGATATTCAGTCCTGTAACGTGTTGCGCTACGGAATTAATGTTTTCTATGAAGAATATCCTGGTGAGTCTCACAGTTGCAGTTTCAGTTGTGATTCATAGTCCAGTTTCTGAGCATAAAACCAGTCAGGATACTATGCTTGTCGGAAATGTGATGTTTGTCTTAGAACCTGCTAACGATTGCTTAGCTGTGTTAGCCTGTGGAAAGTATGCTAGCGTACCCACATGTGCTCCCTGGGCTAATGCGCTTACATGTGAAGTTTTAGCTAACACACCACGGAGACACTTTTCATGCTTCATGATTTGCAGTGAAATGTATTTTTGTTGTTGATAAATTGTTATTGGCCAATAAGAACTGTATAGGTGTGTGATGTGTGAGGGGGAACAAAAGGGATAACACTAGAGAAACACATGTTTTATTTTACAAGTGAGTGATTGCACTGCACGCTGTGTGCAGGCTGGTTTTTTTTATGTAGTAGAAATCTGCTGCAAGGACCGAGCGGTGCCATCTAAGGACTGGATGCCACTGGAGGTGCCTAGAAAGGACGTTCTCAATCTGAAGGCCACCTGTTTCCTTGGAGGGTGGTAGGATACAACGATTTGCAATTTTTTTTTGGATTAACGTTTTTTTCTGAGATCCCAGGACACTTTGTTGTTACTTTTTTCTTTTTTTGGGTCAGATCTGATTCCACTTAACACAAAAAAAAAGCAAAAACTGTGACTAAAGACAATTAACACTTACTAAGAACACTGAATACTAAGTGCACTGAACTGAAATGGACAGCCTACCTGATACATTTATGGACACTTTAAGTGATATGTTGTACATTGTTGACATTTACATGTTTGAAATGATTTAAATGTTTTGTTCATGTCTATGTTTTGGACCATTTAAATGTTGAATACACTCAAATCACTTTTCTCCCTTTAAGTTGTTGTCAGTGTCTCATTCTGAGTGGAGGGATATTCCTTCTTTAAGTTGAGTTACCACTGCCAGTCTCCTTACGATCCTAACTGAACCCAACAAGAGTAGATTCCCAAATATAGTTTTTTTTCCTTGACTTTGTATGACAGATTACTGTGGATTTGACTGATTTTGGACTACTCAGTAAAAAAGGGTGACATAAACACTGTTTGTTTTTTTAAACCCTCTGGTTAAGGTTAATATGGGCATGTGCAGTGAATATCAGCTCTATGTGGCCAGAAGTGTGATAATATAATTTATTTTGTGTAATAAACAACTGCAAGGATAGATGATTACAACAAATAGATGACTAATACATAAAAGTAATACATAGATGAATAATGATGATGAGTTAAGATGCGTAATCATGGGAACAAGCGGGTTTACAAACAGGAGCAGCTGATTAGCTTTAGAAAAACTGAAATAATACCTCAACTGAAGCCAATTGTACTAAATGCACTATATGTGCACTGTTACAAGAATATTTTTGTTCTATTGTTTTATATTAATTTATATAATTTTAAGTTAAGCAGGACAGAGTTCTTTTAAAGAAAGATTTACTTATATTCTCAAAAGTTAAGCATGACAGGCTTCTGTTTAAGAAAGAGACCTGTTTTACTGTGTTAATGTTGTCATTTTGAGCTAAAAATAAACGGCTAAATGATCATTTGTTTCCCATATGGTCATATCACAAAGAATATGCATCTGCTTAAATCAAATTCAAGTCAAATGGTTAAAAAATAATTTCACACACAAAAAAAAGAGCTACAAAATTCACCACACTGGGAAGGGTGAACTGGGTTGCCCGGCCCTGGCCACGAGGTGTCCCTTATTTATTTTTCAGGGAGTTGGCAACCCTAGTACAGGCTGACATTAGCTGGATGCTAACTTCAGTTCATATATAGATGTGTTGAACATCACATCAGAGATGTTTTCTTTATATTCTGTTAGTCAAGTCAGTCAAGTCAAGTTTATTTATAGAGCACATTTAAAAACAACCAAGGCTGACCAAAGTGCTGTACAGTAAATACAGATAAAAATACAATAGAACACAATTTCGTAAAACACCTCGCTGATCAAATAAAAAATAAATAAACAAATAAATTAAACCTTTCTAAAAGCCAATGAAAAGAGGTGAGTTTTAAGAGCAGTTTTAAAAGTTTCTAGGCTTTTGGAGAATCTGACGTGAGGAGGTAAACTGTTCCACAGTCTGGGTGCAGCCACAGCAAACGCCCTCTCTCCCTTTGTCTTTAATTTATACCTGGGAACATCTAAAAGCATCAGATCGGCTGACCTCAAAGATCTCCTGGGGCGATAAGTACTAAGGAGTTCTGACAGGTAAGAAGGTGCAGTGCCATTTAAAACCTTAAAAGCCAGCAGTAAGATTTTAAAATCAATCCTAAAAGCAACTGGGAGCCAGTGGAGAGAGCAGAGAACCGGAGTGATGTGGTCTCTTTTTTTTGAACCGGTCAACAGGCGAGCGGCAGCGTTCTGCACCAGTTGAAGGCGATGTAGACAGGAACGATCTAGGCCAGCATAGAGGGAATTACAGTAGTCCAGCCGTGAAGTAATAAAAGCATGGACCACTCTTTCTAGATTGTTCCTGCAAAGGTAAGACTTGACTTTGGCTAAAATCCGTAAATGATAAAAAGATCCCTTAACTACAGAGCTGATTTGTTTATCAAGTTTAAAAGCATTGTAAAAAATAACTCCAAGACTCTTAATGGAAGAAGTGCAATCAGAGGTTAGGGGTCCCAAAAAGTCAAGAGAGAAGTTGGGATCTTTAGGAAGCCCAAACACAATGACTTCAGTTTTGCTTTCATTAAGGTGTAAGAAGTTAAGAGTCATCCAAGTCTTAATGTCAGACAAGCAGGAGAGTTGATGTTTTGAAATATTTCAAAGTGTCTCCAAGTTAAATGTTGAACCTTTAATATAGCGACACTTAGAGCTCTGAAGCCGTTTTCTCTCGTTTACAATTCAACCAATAAGTTACTGAGTAAGTTAATTTATCTGTAATTAAAGTCATCAACACTTAAAGCTTTATGTGAAATATTTGTTTTTCAAATCCATCATACAAAAAATTAAATACAACTTCCATGTAAAATGCAAAACTAAATATGCATGACTCACATAACACAATTAACATTTGATGTCTTTCTGTCACTTTCACATACACAGAGGTTTAAAAATGTCCTTCTGATGTTCCAGCTGATCAGAACATTTAAAATTCTTATTAATCAAACATATTTTTTGCTGAACTTTTTGAAACAAGACCAAGAACTGTAGTTTTAGGACCAACAGGCTGATGAATGAACCAAGTAAAGCAAAGTAAAGACAAGCTGCACTTTGACTTTTATTAGAACAATTTGCTGGAACTACAGAGTAATGAAGTACTTCAAGGTTTTGTGTGGATGACTTCCAACCTTACTGTACAGCACAGAGCACAGAGGGACAATATATGTAATCAATATATGATGCAGAATGAACAAGTAAAGACTGTAAGCTGAGTCTGAGGCTCATGCAGGACATTTCATAGTGAGGTGTCTTTGGTTGGATTATTCAGACATTTACATCAAAGCACCAAACTCATTTCTCACAGATGAAGGTCGTTGAATAAGAATAATATGACCGTGTCCATTTCCCATAATAGTCACAGCAGACTCCATAGTAACCATAATAAGGATCTGACTGTCCTGCTGCCCAGAACCTGTCAGAGAGATCAAATCTGATATGAAACTGCACTAAACTCATAACTATTGTCACATTCATATAAATATGCGTCTCTTTTGGAATATTTCCAATATTTGCTGTATTTCTTTCCCAGGTTTCTCGCCCACTTTCCCTCCTTTAGACTTTTCTCTGAGAATCATCATGCACACTAAAACAGCTTTCAAGCTTTGATGAATATGAAATCTTCCTGCTGTAAAAATGGAGAATAAAAAGAAGTCAGAGCTGACTTTCTGCTGTTTGAAACTGTTTTGTCAGCTGTTTACAGACATCACTTTGAAATGTGTGTCTATCAGGTCATATTTACTGAAGCTTCTTCCTTCATATGTTCTGAAGTTTTACAAACACCAAAGAAGAAGAGACAGGAATTCTCTGAAACACTTTTTGTTCTGTGAGAAAAGAAACATTACAGCACAAAAACATGAAGACAAATTGAACAAAGTGAAATGTGTCGGTCGCTGCTTTGAACATGTTTCAATCCTGATTCCTTCAAACTGACTTGTTGTAACTGAACGTCATCACAGACTGCAGATGAAGAGAGTTCAAGCACAGCTGTTCATTCAAAGGAGGATTTCTGCTTTTCTTTACATTCAGTTTGTGGGGCTGTTGGAAAATAGCTCAGCTCATGTATTGCTGATCTATCTTCCAAAACATCAGTGTTTCACCTCTAAATAATAACTCTGGAATAGAAACAAACTAATGTCTCACGTTTCTGTCAGCACTGATCCGTCCACCCATTCCCATTCATATCCTCCTGATGTCCATTTAGCTTCCAGACCAATCCAAGAGTGTCCTCTGAAATTACTGACAAATTCCTGTTTGAGAAGAGACACAAATATTGTCTCCAGTCATAATTCAGCACTTCTGTTGTAGTGACATCATCTTGTGAACATGTCTGAAGGAAGAATAACTGTGATGAAACTTTTCTTCCATTGTGCAGAAATCAGAAAGAGCCAAAGAATCAATGAATATCAGCTCCTCCTGTAGCTCAGTCAGTGTTGCAGTGGAATCAGTGTTAACAAATCATTTGATTCAGTTGGATTGAATCAGAAAAATAATCTGGATTATGAGGATTTCTCTCATTTTATAACATTTCTGTGTAAATTAAATGTTTGTCAAATGTGTAAAAACTTTACGTTTGAATGTGTCTGCAACAAAAAAGGAGAATCCAAGAAATCCATCAGAGTGGAGACAGGAAGCAGGTCACAGACTGACAGCAGGTCAAAGACACAAGTAACAGGTGACTGTCAGCTCCATCAAAGATCACACAGACATGAACAAACACACCCACCTGTTCCTCTTTGCTGTTTATCATCACCAGATCAGCTCCTTTATCCTGACAGGCTCTCCTGCTCTCAGACCAAGTTTTATTCTCAGTGGATTTAAAGTAACAGCTGCTTCCAAATCTCATCCATCGATCAGGACACTTCTCTTAAAGTCAAACACATGTTTTAAAGACAGACTTTGTGTCCTGTTGTATCACATGAATCTTTGGTTCCTGTCATTTTCCCTGTAAATGCTTCATTTAAACTCAGGTTTTCTCTCTTATTCATAATGAACTGAAACTTACATTTATACAGAGAAACTGTTACACAGCATCAAACATGTAGGATTCAAAACAAAGACACAATCAGGTTATCACTGTGTAACACTGATGTTTTCTATCAGTTATTCAAACTTTATTACCTTCTATCTTCTCCTTCAGCTTCTTCACTTCTTCCTGTAACTGACTGTTGAGTCGTTTTGTTTCTGTAGAAAAAAAACATGTTAAAAAATGTAAATATAAATTTTATCTGACATTAGTATTTTCTTGTTAATTTTAAATACTTTCTTACCTTGATGTTCAGTCTGTAGCTCGTTGTAACTGTGGTTCAGTTTATTGTGTTTGAAGTGAAGTTTGTTGTTTTCACTCTTGTTCAAAGCATCTGAAATATTTCAGTGAAACCAAAATAAAATAAAATAAAATGAGTGAAACGTTGAACAGAAATAATCTTCTTCCTCTGCTTTGTCAAATATCAATAAGAGTCAGAAACTTGCAGCCATTGTTCTTTAACATGTCCTGTGGGTGGAGGTGTTAGAACTACAGGAAATCTGTTGAGCTAAATACGTATCAACTGTGAACAAAAACCACTGACAAGATTCAGAATAATTGTGCTTCAGTGTGGAGGAAGAAGGTGAAGAGTCAAACAGCATTTCTACACCTGTAGTCAGAGATGTTATCTATATGCTTTGAAAGAATAGATGCTGACTCATGTGACATGTGCCTGTTCTCACTGAAAATATGTCTTTTTACATTCAGTCAAAGCTGCTCTGAGGCTTCAACACTTCCTCTTTCTGCTTATTTATAATTAATAAATGTTTCTTCCTGCAGCTTCCAGGAACTTCCTGCTTTCAGACGTCCTTTTGCAGGCGTCTCTGTTCTCACATCATAGATTTGTGATGTTTCTGCTGATCCAGCATTAAGTCTGTCACAGCTCCACCAGGAGCTAAAGGTCAGCTGAAGATCATCAACTGATTTAAAACATAGAATCAAACCACCTTAAAATCCAAACATCAGCAGCTGCTGGGAGTTTTCTCTGTGTTGTTGTTTTTGTTATTGTGGAGTCTTTACCTGATAATATAAAGAACCTCGAGGCAACTGTTGTTGTGATTTGATGTAATAAAAAAAGATTCATTGATATATCCCAGCAGATGAATGGAGCTAACATTAGCTTGTTAGCTACCTGCTTAATACACCAAGTGAACTAACTAGTCGCACAATGACAGACGGCCACTGTCTAACATAGTGTGGCTGCACCTGCATCAGTCTGCAGCAGATGCTGCTGCCTGTCTGCTTTGTTGAGATAATCACAGAATCAGCGTGTTGAGTGAAGAGTTTGAAGGAACAACAAGAACATTCACTCCACAACACACACAAGATATGAGCCAGGAATCATGCACACAGACACACACCTGCTAATCAGTGCTAAGTAACAGACTGATGAAATACTAGAAGCTCAGTCAGCAAAACCAACGTGTTGGTCAGGCTGTACCACACAGCAGCTCATATTATTGATCAGAGAATTCCATTTAAAATGCCACCGTGCAGTTTTTATGAAGAGGAAACTATCCTTAGAGACCAAAACTCATTTGGTCCTGAATGGAAACATGTTTTTACTGCAGCAAAGGTGCTCATGTTAACATGGGAGTCTGTGGGGACTGACTCGCTTTCAGCATCAGCCTCCAGTGGTCATTAAAGGAACTGCAGTGTTTGCTGCTTCTGTGTTGGCTTCATGTACTTCCTGTATTTGCTGTGGCAGAAGGACACGTTCTGGTTGTGAAGCTGCATGTTTGTTGGCTGCTGGGATTCAGTATCAGTCATACATTCATTTGCAGGAGAAGTTCAGAGGTTGTATCTTATCTTACAGCATATGGACAGGATGATGATCCCAGCTAACATCAGGAGGCACAGCACTCTTAGACCCAGTGTAGCACATCTGAAAGAGCCCTTCAGGACTGAAGGAGGATTCAGAGTCTGTGGTCCTGTTAGAAAGCAGTGTGGATGTTGGTTTGTGCTTATTTCCTGTCAGTCTGTGGTTAACAGACCTGTGGTTGTGGTTGTATCAGCTTAACGTCAAAAAAGGGTCGGTTGCCAAAAAACAAAGGAAATATAACATCTGCGCTGTGACTGAAAGAAGTTCCTGTTAATCAATAAGTGACGTACAAACTATTGTGGGAAAGAATTTAAATTAAAAAGGTTCATACAGCAAATGGAGAAACAGATGTTTGGTGGGCTGCAGTAATTTGGCTTTAAAAGCTGACTGTAACAAACTGGAAGTACATTTAGATTCATAATTGACTTACCTCCTTCCTGCGACTGAAAATGATCATAACTATCTCTCATCTCATCTGTACTCTCGTAGATATCCACCTCCCTCTGCTCCCACTCTGCTCCGTCCTCCTTTCTGCTGTATCTCACCTTCTTTGATAGATCTGGTTTGGCATAAATATCTGAGGACATCGTGAGAGGACTGAGACGCTGAGCAGGAGTTTAAACTGTACTCTAACAGTTCTGCAGTACTGACCCTGGTAGATATCGAGCTGTTTTATTCTTGTCCAGCCTTCTGTCTGCTTTCAGGCAGGAAGAAGCTTTGAGGAAGTGGCAGCGTCTAAGGAAACACAGACCGTGTGATTAATTTGCATAAAAATGTCTTAACTGCATTTTGTGTTTCTCTTAACTACAGATAAAACTCTGTGTTGTACAATATGTGTACTTTGTTGAGCTTTTGACTGAGTTTGCATAAAGCAGAAAATGTATAAACTCTTCTTTTTCTAAAGACGTTGAACGTTCACACATAAAAGCACAAACACAGTCACACCTCAGTGTCACAGTTGGTTCGACCCAGGAAATGTTATTTTGTCAGTTACAGTTTGTTTTCTTTCTGTTGCCTTATAGAGAAACAAACTGTAGAACTGTTGAGGTTCATCCAGTCGATGTGGAAAGTTTGAACCACGTCTCAAACACTCTTTAAACGAACAACAATTAAATTTAGCTTCACTGCTGACCGAAGATTTTAAAAAGAACAAGATGTTTGTGTTCATTCATTTGTGTTTTTCCCTTTTTAGGTCACTCTGTAACTTTTCCTTTCAATTCTACATTTTGCACTTTCAGGAAAACTGATGCAGTTCATTTTTTGAGATCTTTGATTTGATTTTCAAAGGAATACAGAAGTACTTGTGTGAAAAAGTGTCCAACATAAGGAGGAAAAGTTTTTTGAAATTACAGTGCACATCTTACTGTGAGGTCACGAGGAAATACTCCTTGTTGTTGGGCCGTCCTGGTTAACACACCTCTGCAACATTACATGAGAGTCGGGCACTCGGCCTCTGGATTTGTAAATCTGGGCTGGTGGGTTCAAACACTCCTCAGCCTCCCTGAGAATGTTTATGTCAGAATATTGAAGGAGAAACTCCATCCAATTGTGAAATCTCAAATTCAGAGCAACAGTGTGGTTTCCATCCTGGTCATGCAGCACTGGACGAGCTCTTCATTCTCTCCAGGATGTGTGGGAGTGATGTCGTCCAGCTTACTGTAGGTTGGTTGAAGTTGAGTGTGAAGTAGTTGGGATGACATTTAGCACCTTTAATTCTGAGGTTCTCAGCTGGAAAAGGGTGTTGTGCCTGTTTAAGGCTGGAAATGAGTTTCTTCCAAGTAAAGAAGTTAATGAATCCTTGAATTTTGTTCTCGAGTGAGAAAAGAAAGCAGCAGGATGTTAGAAGCCAGATTGGTGCAGTGATCCTGTCTGTTGGGGTGAAGAGAGAGCTGAGCATGAAAGTGCTGCTGATTTATCAGATGAGCTACATTCTTACCTTCACCTCAGTAATGAACACAAGCTGTGAGTACTGACTGAAAGAGTGAGATACAAGGGGTGGAAACAAGCTTCTACCTAAAGGTGTCTGTGGGCTCAGAGCTGGAGCTCCTCCACACTGAAAGCACCTGACTAGGATGTTGGAGGTTTGTCCAACTGGAGGACACACGTTGTCTTAATCATTCAATTCAGTTTGACTTCTACAGCTCCAAATCACAGCAACAGCCTCAAGGTGCTTTATGTTGTGAGGTCGACCCTACAATAACATTACAGTAACAAGTTTGCTGTTTGTGTGTTTTCCAGTGAAGTAGGAGAAACACAGCAGTGTGGGAACAGGAACTAAACACAATCAGGTCTGCAGCATCAAATCATTTCACTTCTAATGTTCAAAATCAAACATCTAACATATTGGAATCAAATTCCTCACAGCGTGTCATGATTCCCACCACAATCAGCAGATACAGCACTCCCAGGTTCACTTCAAAAGCTCTGAACCAGCTTCTTCTCACAGCTGGAAGCTTCTTCTCGGTGTGAACATCTACAAAGATAAAACAAAAAGTCCATTTATGAAGCACTAATGAGAGACTTTGGAGCTTTTTATTAATCCTCACTGTAGGAATGATCCCAGTAGAAAGTAAATCAGATTTACCAAACAAATCAGTCGAGTTTGTTAAAAAGTTACAGGAACTCAAACAAGGACAAAGTAACATTAGTCCATTCCAGCTGTTGTGATCGGTCGGTACATTTCTGGCCACTTCTTGGTCGCAGCTTTTGAATAGATCAGTGAGAGAAAAACAATCCTCCTCTCAATATAAGGACTAAATGAGCAAAACTATCCTGATGGACGTGAGGGAACGTAGAAAGAAGTGTAGAAACCTGAGGGACAAATATGGAGGAGAGTCCCAGAATATTCGTTTCTATGACGATCATCTGCACGCGGGTCAGAGCTGTGAGGAAAGTGTAATGCTGAGGAACAACCATGAACTGTGGAAACTTTAAAGCTGATTTATAACAGAGTGGTGCTGGGTGTGTGTTACTCTGTGTTTGTGCTTCAGTTACACTCAGTTAGCTTTCTGCTAGCTGTTTCCATCAGTTTGCTTCTCTCCTCTCTACACTCACTCATACTGCATTTTGATGCAGCTGAACTCACAATGAATCTGCATCTTTCTGTTCCTGTTGTCAGACCACAGAACAACTATGAACTACTGATTTAAACGTGCTGCATTAACTACAGGGGGAAGCTGCTAAGACACTGGAGCTGCATACCAAGCTGCTGCTCTGCACCTCTGAAAGACGCATTTTTGGAAGCACAACATTGTCGGACAAACTCGACATTCACATATGTTTAAAACAATGACTGTGTGGACAATCTGGCTGTATTTACAGTCATGTTATCACTTGGAGAGGAAGCAGAAAGAGCTGTGCTGCTCCTATTGGCTGCTTCTCTCTGCCACTCACAGACCTCTTCCTGAAAGCAGAGCAGCAGCTGAACCAGTTTGACTTGAAGCCACAGACACTGAAACAGTCAGACGGTTAGAAACGGAGCTCCTAACTGGGAGTAAACAGGCCCAGTGCAACAAATGATCTGTGTGCCAGTTTGGACTGGAAACATATTCTGGGGACATGTGACACGAACACTAATATGTCTTAAAGTGGTCGGATATCAGAGCTTTAAAAGACACTGAACAACACTTTCATCACCAACATTTTCTTTGGTTTGGTCACTTTGATGATTTCCTGCTTACCAGCTTCTTGTAGGCCAACGTCAGGGTGCTGCTCTCCATCATCTAACACCTCCACCTCACTTTGCTCTCTCACTCCTCCATCCTCTTGGGACCCTCTGCTGTATTTCACCCTGAAATCTTCAACACTTTGAATTTCTGTAGACATTTTGAGCTGAAAGATCTTTGAGCAGCTTCACCGTCTGTCTGTGTCTTTAAGTCCGACAGCTTTGACGAGAAAACAAAGAGGAAGTAAAACAGGACGAGTCACAGTTCTTCTGACACGTCATGATACGTGTAAGAGTCAGTTATGAAGCACTGCAAACAACATCCTGCAAGACCTCCAGTTCCATTATATAAATTAAAAATGCTGAAATTCCATTAATACAGTAATTAAATCATTAAAAATGATAAATGACAGAAACTTGCAGTAGCTTAAATACATTTGTGGATTTCAGTGGGATCGGGAAACCATTTAGTGCTCATTAAAATACCTCCAACAACTTGTTTTTAATATTTGCTGCTTATCATATCACAAACATACAGGTTTAACTCAGCAGCTGCAGTATGTTTATAATAACACGGCTTTGTTAGACGCTGCCTTCTACAAACTGTAAGCACATCGAAGCAGCAGAGAGAAGAAGTGTTTGTGACACAGGAAATATGTCAGAGTGAACTATTTATTCATCTTTATTTTTACCAGCACAGAAACTAACAGGGCAGCGTGGTGCTGCAGTGGTGAGCACCATCACTTCTCAGAAAGAGAGTTCCTGTTTTGGGTGGAGTCTTTCTGTGTGGAGGCTCATGGTCCTGGTCTGTGAGCCAGCGTTTGTGTTTGACGTCTGATTCTGGTTCATTTCATGTTCTGAGGTGAAGTTTTGGTTATGATTGTTGTGTCTCTGTTTGTGTCCCAGGTCTTAGTTTGTTGTCTAGCCTCAGGTTTTCTGTTATCATCCCTCCTCTGTGTCCCCGCCCTCTTCCTGTGCTAGTATCTCTCTGTGAAGTCAGTCTTGTCTCCATGCTGATTGGCCTGTTCCCCAGTCGTGTCTCTGTGTTTCTGCTGTTTCCTGTTTTACTCTGACAGTCTCTCGTCCTGTGTGCATCTTGTTTAGTTTTGCTTCCTGGTCTCGTTAGTTTGATTATGTTCAGCTTTGTTCCCACCTGTGATCTGTTCCCTTGTGTTTCTTCTCACAGCCTCCTTCATTCCCTCCAGCTGTGTGTTCGTCTGTTTAGTATTTCTTGGTCTAGTTTTGGTGTTTTGTAGTCAGTAATAAATTGTCTTTAAGTTTGGTTTCTGTCTCCGACTCCCACATTTTATCTGCTATCCTGCCTTGCCTCACACAGCGGTACATGACAGGAGATCTCGAGCACTAAAATAAAGCAGCAGACTCCGACCTACAAGTGGCAGCAAGTAGCCGTTTCCTTTCTTGAGGAAAAGCTGAAGTGGAAGCGTTGGCTCACCCCTGGTAGGAGCACATTTTCAGTGGTACTCACCGGGCTCTAAGGGGTCCTCAAAGACGTTGTGTTCGTCCACCTGCTGCCCCGCCTGCACCTGATGCTCTGCAGCTGAAAGTGGGCATCATCCACCCATCTCTGGTTGCTCACGGTTGTTGATCAGCCTCTCCGCTGCCCACTCATTGTCCTGCCTCCTCATAAGCTCTTCCACCTCGATCCTCAAAGAGTTTCCTTTCTGCGGCCATCAGAGGCTCAATTATCCGGTTTCCCTTTTTCCTTCACCAAGAAGAAAAAAGTGCAGATTTCCTTCTCACGTGGAGCAACAACCTATCACCAGCTGCCGACTCCACCTGGATGATGCCGTTTTGCTCGCCGGAGATTTTACGGGCCGGCTCATCACAGGCTCTTCAGCTGGAATGATGTTGCATCAGCAGCTCCAAACTCTCCTGTTTCCTCAGGCCAGAGGAGACGACGCTCCTACTATCCTCCCTCTGTGAGTAAAACTGACGATTAGACTCTGCTCTTTGTTCCCACCTGTGGTCTGTTCCCTTATTGTTTGTATTCATTGTCTGCATTCCCTTGTGTTGCTTGTTGTTGGGTCTGAACATACGACCCTGCTGGATTCAGACCACGAGAGACTGCAAACAGAACACAAGAGCCACTGGTACGGTTTGCTTGCAAGGGGAGATTGCCTCCCAGAACTGACACAAGCTCCCTGTAGCCAACTCCAAACTCCCCTCGCAGCCTTTTATTCAGAGAACACACACTGTGAATGTGTTTGTATGTGTGTGTGTGTCTCTGTATACGTGACTTCCTGCTACACAACATCTGTTTACAACCATTTAACAACATCCCTATTCATAAAAGGGTCATCTCCCCCCACCCTGTATATGGCTTAACCCCCTTAATGGTCCACCATATACAAACATAGAAGAGCCCATGAAGGACAGGAAGTGGACGTTCCCGAGCAAATAAGCAAACCAGAATCTTTACCTGGAATGTGCCTGCAGTTGAACACTATAGCTGTAGCCTCCCCCACCATCCTACATGCAGGGAGGAGAACAGAAACAAGAATATCTTCAATCATGCAGTTTAAACAAGGTTCACAATTTGAAGCACAACGATGACAATTTTTAACAAAGTCACTCCAACACTTGTCATGATCTCCCTCATCCCTCCAGCTGAGTGTTCCAGTTAGTGTTTCCTGGTTTACTTGTGATGCTTTTGTAATCAAGAACACCATAACTAGCGCAGCAGCCAGACCCTGAACTTCAGCAGGTAACTGATGAGCAGTCAGGCTGCAGCCTCCGTCTCCACCTGTTCATGCTTCTATAGTAGAATCACTGGGTAGACCAAGAACAAGCTGGAGAAATTAGATCTCTTGGCTGGCCTGGGAACACCTTGATGTTCTCTTGGATAAGCTGGAGGAGGTGTAACTTCCGAGTATCCTGAGTCCTCTGAGTTATCCAGCCAAGCCCCAGCAGGGCTCCTGTCTGCCTCCAAGTCTCCAGAGAGACTCTGCCTTTGCAGCCAATCTTCAAAGCAGCCCCTCCACTGTTAGCAACACGTCCGACCTCCAGAGACGTTCTTTCATCTCCTCCGTTTTCATACTGTCCACATGTTCTGAGCCTCTTCTCCTCTCTGCTTCCGGGCCAACCCCACCATTGTTTTTGTTCTTTTACATTTCTGCTCTCTGGTTTTCATTTTAGTTCTGGGTAAAAATCTTCTTACCGACTGCTGTTACCGTCAAATCTGAGCTTCTCTTGGTCGACTCTAAATCAACATTATCCAGAACCAACAGTTTCTCTATAACGATCAATAACTCGCCGGTCTCTGTTTCTTCCTCTGTGAAAAGTTTGGGTATCATCCTCGACAGTACTCTATCGTTCAGTTCACACATTAATGATGTTACTCAGTCTGCATATTTTCAATTGTGCAACATTAGTTGTCTCCGTCCTTTCCTCACTCCACATGCCACTGACATTCTTGTTCACAGTGTTGTTACTGCTCGGATCGATTACTGTGATTCATTTCTTTGTGGTCTTACTCAAAAATCCATTAATGAGCTTTAATGTGTCCAGAACTCTGCTGCTCGTATCATCACCAGGACCCCTTCTATAGATCTCATCACTCCCAGTTAGATATCACATCATTGTCAAAATACTTTTGTACACATTTAAGGCTGTTCATCATCTATCTCTGATGATGATCCCGTCTCGGTGTCTTAGATCTCCTTCTTCTCTTTCTCTCTCTAGCCCCGCCCCCTGTCTTGCCACCGTGGCTTTCAGCTGCTCTGCTCCTCGACTCTGGAGTTCACGACCTCCTGATTTAAGAAATATCTCTTCCTTCTCTCTCTTTAAGTCTAGACAAAAACTCACTGGTTCAAAATAGCTTATCCCACATAACCTCTCCACTCTGCTATGTTAAATTAGTTTTATGCCTTATGACTTTATGATTGTGTAAACTGCCTGCTTTTCTGTTGCTTTTATTATTCTGCTGTGTACAGTGTCCTTGAGTGTTCTTCAAATAAAATGTGGTAAAATGAAAGTGATGATGGTGGTACTCTAATGTTTCCATTACTGCCACCATCAGGCCAAACTTTGCTATGATTATAATTATTTAAAGTTGTAGTTATTCTGGGACCACTAACTTTTGTACATTTACATATTTTACACTATTTAACCGTTTTTGTTTTTAAAGAGAAGCAGAACGATGTGCAGCCAGAGTTTATTTCAATGTTTAAATGAACACACTGAAGTTACAGGTTGCAGACATGGTACAGAGAGGGTGGAGCTGCCTGCAGCTGTCTGTGGTGCTGAAGCTTTCAAACATTTCATACCAACACTGACTACAACTGTGACCACAGGGGGGCAGCATAGAGCCAGAGAGTGTTAGTGTAGCTGTTCAGCCCTATAGTAAGAAACAAGAAGACTGATGAAGGAAAAGCTTCTTCCACTGGTGTAACACATAGGTTTGTATGAAGTCACACTAACTAACCAGCAGTAACCCACATTTGATCAAAGCAGGGGCAGAACTTTAATAACAGGTTATAATGTGTCATCACAGTTGTTGTCAATCCAAACACACTTTCTGATTGTTGCTGTTTATTGTAAAAGAACAACACACTTGTGGTCTGACCTAATGCTGTAGTACAACAACAACTATACAAATGTGAGCTCAGTGCAGACTATGCTGACTCACTGCACCATCCTGTGGTACAAAGTGGTATTACATGAGAGTACAGGCTGACATCAGCTGGATGCTAACTTCAGTTCATATGTAGATGTGTTGAACGTGACATCAGAGATGTTTTCTTCATATTCTGTTGATGTTTTGAAATATTTCAAAGTGTCTCCAAGTTAAATGTTGAACCTTTAATATAGCGACACTTAGAGCTCTGAAGCCGTTTTCTCTCTTTTACTATTTAAACAATAAGTTACTGAGTAAGTTATTTTATCTGTAATTAAAGTCATCAACACTTAAAGCTTTATGTGAAATATTTGTTTTTCAAATCCATCATACAAAAATTAAATACAACTTCCATATAAAATGCAAAACTAAATATATATGACTCACATAACACAATTAACATTTAATGTCTTTCTGTCACTTTCACATACACAGAGGTTTAAAAATGTCCTTCTGATGTTCCAGCTGATCAGAACCTTTAAAATTCTTATTAATCAAACAAATTTTTTGCTGAACTTTTAGAAACAAGACATTTACTGTAGTTTTAGGACCAACAGGCTGATGAATGAACCAAGTAAAGCAAAGTAAAGACAAGCTGCACTTTGACTTTTATTAGAACAATAAAACTGAAGTACAACCATCAGTGCTGCCTGTGTGTGTGCTGGTTGTAAATGTGTTGCTGGACTGAAGTCTGATTAAACTTGAAGTGAGCAGGAAGCCTGTTGGAGCTGCAACAGCAGGAGGCTGACTGGAAACTTTCAGGTGAGTTGAAGTTTAAAATTACACACATTATATTTGTTACACAGCAGATGATATTTAATATATTTAAGGGACAATTTACATTAAATGAAAGAAAAACTTGTGGTGACCAGGAACATATGCAGATGTGATCTGACAAATGTTCATTTACGACCCATAAATGTCCATAACACCAATTCTGGGACCAATGATCAGCCTGTCCACCCGTCCCCACCTCTGACTGCTCCAACAACAAAGCACCAGTCAGTTTGTAGCGCCTCCTACTGGCAGAGGGCCCACAGTCCTGTTAACACAAAGCTCAAGGTGGGATCCTGACGTCACGTTCATTATTGAGGTGAGTCTTGTTTTTCTCTTCATGGAGGTCACACTTGTTCACACTCATCCTTCGTTTATATGTTTATGTTAAATCTACACTGACCTGTACCCCGTGCTGTGACCTATTCAATTCAATTCAATTCAATTTTATTTATATAGCGCCAAATCACAACAAAAGTCGCCTCAAGGCGCTTCATAGATACAGAGAAAAACCCAACAATCATATGACCCCCTATGAGCAAGCACTTTGGCGACAGTGGGAAGGAAAAACTCCCTTTTAACAGGAAGAAACCTCCGGCAGAACCAGGCTCAGGGAGGGGCGGCCATCTGCTGCGACCGGTTGGGGTGAGAGAAGGAAGACAGGATAAAGACATGCTGTGGAAGAGAGACAGAGGTTAATAACAGATATGATTCAATGCAGAGAGGTCTATTAATACATAGTGAGTGAGAAAGGTGACTGGAAAGGAAAAACTCAATGCATCATGGGAATCCCCCGGCAGCCTACATCTATTGCAGCATAACAAAGGGAGGATTCAGGGTCACCTGGTCCAGCCCTAACTATATGCTTTAGAAAAAAGGAAAGTTTTAAGCCTAATCTTAAAAGTAGAGATAGTGTCTGTCTCCCGAATCCAAACTGGAAGCTGGTTCCACAGAAGAGGGGCCTGAAAACTGAAGGCTCTGCCTCCCATTCTACTTTTAAATACTCTAGGAACAACAAGTAGGCCTGCAGAGCGAGAGCGGAGCGCTCTAATAGGGTGATATGGTACTACAAGGTCATTAAGATAAGATGGGGCCTGATTATTTAAGACCTTGTATGTGAGGAGCAGGATTTTGAATTCAATTCTGGATTTAACAGGAAGCCAATGAAGGGAAGCCAAAACAGGAGAAATATGCTCTCTCTTTCTAGTCCCTGTCAGGACTCTTGCTGCAGCATTTTGGATTAGCTGAAGGCTTTTCAGTGAGTTTTTTGGA